ACCTCAGGTCGCTCCATTTTTAGTGTAAATAAATTGCAACTCTCCCACTCGTGAGTGGGAGCGTGAACAGTGAACACCCCCCTCCCACACCTCCCGCAGCTTGGCGCTTGCTCCCTCTCACTGTCGCTTTGCGCGCCCGAGCAGGACGGATGATACAGGGGGGTCCAGGGAGTCCGGACGCCCCCATTGCTCGCGCAGAAAACGCATCTGAGGGGGTCTAATTTATAAAAATCCCCAGGACCCGCCCTTCGCATGCTCGCAACTTTGGTTTCGTTCAGACCCCCCCTGGTGGCAAAATCCTGTACCCCCCCTGCCGAGCAACATTGCACATTGAAAAACGAACACCCCCCCCCAATATAAAGCTGGCTACGGCCTGCCACTGCCCAGCACTATTTTAAAGTGGGCGAGGTCCGGGTAAATCTCAGCGATGAGATCGTAAACAGCAGTATGATTTGAAAGAGGTAACTGGGCGAGCCAATCACGACGTACTATTATCGCATTACTATTTTTAATTAACATTTTTATGAAATAAGCTGTCGTATCTTTTAAAATATCTTTTTTAGTCGCAAATCTTATTACATAGGATACGAGTAACGTGGCTGCTGTAAAACTTGTAGTAAAAACAGAAATCTACTTGTGGCAGTGGTGAGCGAGATTGGTATTTATACTCAACCCAATCTATCCATACATTGGTTAGGTCATAGATATAGAAGAAGACCTCTATCTATAATACAGCCGCGAGAGTTCACACGGCGTCACGGTTTGGCTCGAGCCAAAATGGGCTAAATTGGCTCGGCCAAATGGCTCGGGCCGGTTGAGTCGGAGCGTTCACACGATACGCAAGTGAATACTGCTTTGTCAATTCAAATTCAAATTTCAAAACTAAATTTTATGCACAAATAATCTCACAGGGCTGGTCCGACGTTTTTGATGGGACCAAATTGGCACGTGCCAAATCAGGCTCAGGCCAAAAACGTCCGCGGTGAAACGCGCCTTATTTCAGGTGTCAGAACTATTAGACTGGTACCGCGGTCCACCTCTCGCTTAGGATCGAGTAACTTCACACGCCATGCGAGTAATCGAGGTGGGAGCGAGTACAGTCTACAGAACCTATTAGATAGTGCTGACACCTACGCGTTTTGTATTAGCAGTAATTTGATTTCTAACGTTAAAGAATATATTTTGCCTCTCGTATATTGTGAATGTAATCTTGACTATTCTGTGACAATCAGTTTGCGTTTACGTTGTGTCTAGATAAAGCATTAGCAAATGAATATGATTGTGTTGAGTGATATCAGCAAGCCACTTATATCGACTGATTTAAGATTTGAATCCTATAATAAGCTCTGAGGCGTGTTCCGGAGAGCGAACACTCGAATCGAATGCGCAAGCGTTCGCCCAAACCTCTCCTGAACACGCCTCTGGTGATACTATAGTGGCGACAACATAAGCCTCCGCCGATTGTTCATGTTTCACTATTTCGTCCTGAGAAAATGCCTTTTTCACGGTGGCGGCAGAAGGCTCACACCCCAAATGCAAATCCCACAATAAATGCAAATCCGCAACACAAATGCAAATCCCGCCAACACAATGCAAAACGTACACACAGAATGCAAAATCCCCACAGCACAAATGCCAACCCGTCACAACTACAAAATGCAAACGTCACAACCACAAATCAAAATCTCACAACACAAATGCAAACGCCAACAACACACAGCAAACGCCACAACGCAAATGCAAAAGCCACAACACAAATGCAAAATTCCGCGTGCCGCGCGCCCGCCCCGTCATCTCGTTTGTACTGGGCGGCATCTGTATCATGCAGGAGTAGCATAATCAGGATCTCTACTCATATCATCTACTCCTGATTGTATACAGCTGTTAACCCCGCTCCCCCTCCGCACCACAGCTATCACGCTCATACCATGCCGGCTAAGAGAAGCTGGTACAGAGAAGGAGGAGGAGACAGCTGGTGGAGAAAGAGGGGGGAGAAGGCGGTGGAGAAGAGGGTGGAGAAGCTGGTGATAAGGAGGAGGGGGAGAAGCTGATGGATAAGGAGGAGGGAGAAGGGTGGATAAGGAGGAGGGGAGAAGCTGGTGATAAGAGAGGGAGAGGGAGAAGCTAGGTGGAGGCAGAGGAGGGAGAACTGTGGCAGGAGGGAGGGGGAGAAGGAGAGAAGCTGGAGTGGAGGAGGAGGAAGGCGGAAGAAGGGAGAAGCTGTAGAGAATGGAGGAGGGAGAAGCTGTGGACTGAGGAATGAGGACGAGGCTGGATGGAGAAGGAGAAGGAGAAAGCTGGTGAAGAGGGAGAAGCTGTAGAGAAAAGAGAGGGGAGAAGGGAAAAGCTGCTCAGAGAGGAGGAAAGGGGAGAAGCTGGTGGAGAAGGAGGAGGGGAAGAAGCTAGGTGGAGAAGGAGAGGGCGGAGAAGGGAGAAGCTGGTGGAGGAGGAGGAGGGAGAAGCTGGTGAGGAGGAGGAGGGCGAAGGCTGTGGAGAAGGAGAGGGGGAGAAGGGAGAAGCTGGTAGAGAAGGGGAGGGCGACCGAGAAGGGAGAAGCTGGTGGAGGAGAGGCAGGGGGCGACCCACCAGAGGGAAAGCTGGTAGCGAAGGAGGAGGGGGAGAAGAGGAGACAAGCTGGTAGAGCGAACAGGAAGGGGGAGAAGCTTGGTAAAGGAGGAGCGAGGGGGAGAGGCTGTAGGAGAAGGGAAAGGGAGAAGCTGGTGAAGGAGGGAGCAAAGCTGGTAAGATGAAGAAGAGGGGGAGAAGGGAAAGCTGTAGAGAAGGCAGAGGGGAGAAGCGTGGTGGAGAAGGGAGGAGGGGGAGAAGCTGGTGAAGAAGAGAGGGAGGGGAAAAGAAGGGAGAAGCTAGGTGGAGGAGAAGGAGGGAGAACTGGTTGGAGGAGGAGGAGGGGGAGAGAAGGAGAAGCGGGTGGGAGGAAGGAGGGGAGCCCCCAAGGAGAAGCATGGTAGAGAAAGGAGGAAGGGAGAAGGGAGAAAGCATGGTGTCCCATCGAAAAACGTCGGACCAGGCCCGAGCCAAATTTTAGCACCAGCTTTCGGCGAAGGGTAGAGCGGTAGAATTGGTTGAGCGGTAGATGCCGCGAGTGTCGAACGTGTACTTCGACGAAATAAAGTCCAAAAAAGTATAAAAATGTGAAAAATTTGATTAGGATGCACGTTTTCAAAATTGATAATTAAACTCGGACTGTAAGTAAACACTCTAAATCGTAAACAACGCCATCTCGCGACATACTGCCAAAGTATCTGTGAGATATTTGTGCAATTAAATTTATTTGAATTTGAATTTGAATTTGACAGACAGTATTCACTTGCGTACAGGTGAACGCGCCGACTCAAACCGGCCCGAGCCAAATCTAACCCATTTGGCTCGAGCCAAACCATGACCGTGTGAACGCGACTATATATAGGACTCTTCTGCAACTAGAAGGGCGTTTCGGTTTTGCAAGTGAAGTGGCACCCAGGCAAGTGCTCCTTAACGAATTCTCCTCCCTCCCTAGCCACAACTCACAAGTTCCCTTCTCACTTAACACTACGTTGGCGAGAGGCGTTTCCTACGCCGTGTAACAGTCGGAGAGCCTGGTCGGTTTACTCCCTCCCTAGCTCCAAGAAACGGTCTTGCTAGGGTTAGAAGACCTGTTTAGTGTATATACAATCGGTCGCACAGCCTGGTCGGGCTACACCCTCCCTTCTCTTTCAATAGGCACGAGCATGTACTATACTGTACTCTGACAGTACAATTGCTACTACTACTACTAGTGATGTTGATTGATAAGTACTGTGCCAAGTATAACTATTTTCATGTTATAACTATAAGCCTATAGGCTGCCAACTTGCTGTAACAGTAACAATGCATAACACAAAGGGAGGGGGAGGGTACCCTGTTCAAGTGCCTACATGCAGTCCCACCCTTATCAATAGGCATGAATTTGGCCAATTACATTTGCCATTATTTATTCATATATGAAAAGTAATAAAAAACGGACCCATTCCAGTTACATATATATGTCCAGTGTTACGCACAGATTTATGGAGTACCCATATTCCAAGCAACGGATAAATAAAACAATCACCAGTACTTCCATGCATCTATATTATTTTATATATTGTGTGTAAATCTACTAAAGGGTGTAACCACAGGCCCTTGGAGGCTCAAGTTTCAAGTTTCAAGAAGAGTAAAAGAGCGAAGCGCAAAGCTTCGCTCTTTTACTCTTCTTGAAACTTGAAACTTTAGCCTCCGAGGGCCTGTGGTGTAACGTAAATATGTTTTGGTTGATGAATCATTGTACCATATATATGTATGCACAATGGACAATATGATGGGGATACGATAAGAATGCGCAAATATGATGTTGTCTATTGGCACTCCCATGTCCATGTAGTTATCGACACTGTTAGGGTCTATGCATGGGTATGATTCAAATGGTCAACATGCGTAATATTGCCTAAATAGACTGCGGGTCGGGTAAGTCTAAGATCTTATATTCAATACCGTGTACATAGCTAAATACACACCATAGCGCTATATGTGCTCCATAGGCATCGGCTGGCCATCCGTGACAGTGTTTGTCTTTATATAGGCTTAGTAATGTGGGCATATAGTTACTACAGACTCATTCATATCACTAGGGCTGAATTGGTATTTGTATGGTGATTATAATCATTGTTTTGTTGCTATTTATATATTTACTTTACATACTGTAATGCAAAAATTATTATAATAGCTTCTAATTTTATGTTTTGTATTAATTAAATTAGTTTACAGTCATTTTCAATATTACCCACATGAAATAAACTTATTGGGGCAGTTGCAGTTTGGATTTGTCAA